TGTAAGATGTTATACAGCACAACAAAGTCATAGGCAGGGATCCTGGTTTTCTCTGTTAAAAAATCCAAAATTCTCCAATTAAAACACCCAAAATCCAAGTTTTTCTGCGATTAAAATGAAACACCACTATATATATATTTTATGTTCAGGCAACCCCTGCTTAGCATTCTTAATTGGTTCCTGAAAAACCAAGCGTTAAGTGAAATGAGCATTAAGCAAAACTGAAAGTATCTGACGACCCAAGATGGCGACTGCAATCATTTCTAATGACCCAAGATGGTGACTGTAAGTGTTATAACAAACTCACTGAGCGCTAAGTGAAATATAGGTATCAATTTAAAATGAGTGTTATAGCAAAACAGCGTTAAGCAGGGGTTGCCTGTATACAGGTATCAGTTGAACACACTGTTTTATGAATATATTTACCATTTTAAAGCAATTTGGAAGCCTACCAGTGCTTCAATCATTGTAATATAATACATTCTAAATACTTACATATTTTAGCATTTAATTTTGGTTTTTTATCATGGAAAACTCAGAACTCCCCATACCCACTTCACTCACCAAGATGTAGGTCGAGTTCCAGCTGTCCCCACTGCTTTGTGGTGTTAAGCTGCCTTGATATTCGAGTGCCCTGCCCCTGCCATTGCCCCTTACTCCCAACCCCCAGCCCTGTCAGTCCCTGTCACTCCTGACCCACATTCCCCCGTGCCCCCCAGCCCTGCTGGTGCCCCTTCCCACCCCTCCAAACCCTAGCCCCTTAGTGTGGGGAAGGCTGTGGGTGTGGACATCAATGATGCCATAGGCGATGCATTGGGGGGTACATGTGCCCTCCCAGATCCCTACACCCACAGGAGGACCTAGCAGCACACCAACACCTAGCAGCTGCCACTTCCATGGCCCAGTGGGCGGGACCCAGTACAGAAGGGAGTACTGCACTGCCATGACTGCTGAGGTGAGGTGCCCCTACCAGCCTGGCAGCAGCGGAGGGGACACAACTCTGTGCTGTCAGAAGCCCTGCACCAGCTGTGCTGACATTGCTGCCAAGGTGAGCCACTGTGGTGGTGTGGGGCTGTGCCCCCTGGCTGCTCCCAGGCAGGCAAGTTGTGCTTCACCTTGATAGTCATGGGGGTGTGGCACTTCCGGTAGTAGCAGCACTGAGCCTCCCTACCCTGTCCTCCTGTGTTGGGTCCTGCCTGCTGGGCCATGGAGGTGGCCCCTGCTCAGTGCTGGTCTAGCCAGGCTACAGCCCCATGCCCTAATGTGGGTGCAGAAATCTGTGGGGGCATGTCCTCCCCATGCTCCCTCAACATGTCGCATATGCACACCCTAGACTCACCTGCAGGAAGCTTCAGGAGCTGCTTTCCACCATGCTGCCTGGCTGCATTGCTGACCACGTGTATATGTGCGTGTGCACATGCATGTGGTGTCCTCTGCCTCTGATCGCCCTCCACCTGCTTCCCGAAGCCCCAAGGAGTCTCTTGCAAGCTGGAACTCTTTAAGTTTGCAAGGGAAAATTGACAGTATCCCAGGTTTTCCTCCTTTAAAGAAAATCACAGATTTTTCCCTTTAAAAGAGAGAAACCCTGTTTTTCCGCAGGGAACTGAAAACCCAGATCCCTGGTCATAAGACAAAGAAAAATGTCTTATGAACAGCATATTCAACTACACGTATACTACTTGTGCTATTTTACCTTCAGGTACCCACTTTGAAAATAAAAGACTAGAAAACATCTAAAAAGATATCATTAGCCACAACCTGGAATCCTTAATATTCTAGAACAATTTTTGCAAATATAAGAATATAAAGAAGTGCTATGCTAGATGAGACCAATGGTCCATCTAGTGGGTCCCCACCCGGTTTTTGTAGTCTGGGACCCGATTTACTTTATTCACACCCTTCATGATTTTGTAGACATTTGTACATATATCACCAATTCACTGAAATAGTACACGTAATGTTTAGTTATCTGAAATGATTTATAGTCATATGAAATGCACAGCAATGTACAGTGTTCATAAAATACTGTACATGTCTTCCTTCCAGAAAAAATGGAAATCTACACAAGCAGCATAAAGTTTTCTGTGCAGTTGGGAAATTTCCCAGGGAATGGTCCAAAACTGGAATGAGCTCTCCCACCTTCCTTCCGAAGTGAAAAGCAAATTCCTTTGAACTTGGCTTCTCTAACAGAGAATATTACAAAACACCAACACCCCATAAAACCCAAAACCATATTAAAGAAAATCTCCATCAGATGATGATACCTCACTGCACATATTTCTCCACTTCAGGAGAGGATTACAGTACAAAGTGTGCCAGATTTTAGCTACATTTTAGCTCTGTTACGTAACCCCTGGAAAGGATTCATGTAGACAATTGTGTTATGAAAACCCAACATGTATACAGAACAGAATACTAAGGAACTAGCCAAACATCTGACCTTTCGCAAATCTGGACAGAGTCAGTGTTTACAGCAAGCTGGTGATCTTCGATAATGTTGCTTTTTCTAGAGTAGAGAGCTTGCACTCAAGCTACACAACACCTCACAGAAATAGCTAGTGTTTTTGTAAGCTGGTATAAACAGGATTAAAGTGAATTGAAAGAGCAGATATCTGCAACACCCCCCCCCAAAAAGCCCTGCACCTCCAACCGCCTAAAAAGGCAGATTCTCCAGAAAAGGCTGTTTCACTGACCTGTAATGAATATTAGATTTCAAAGGTTTGAGTGTCATGGGAACATGGAAATCAGTTACCAATCACTTATTACAGGTAAACGCATCAGTAAGACTTACTATTCCAGCTGTCAGTGGTAATGGTTTTTAAAGACATTCTCACTGAGTGATTAGATCTGAGATGGGGAAAAGACTCCTCTACACATTATAGATGCTTGTTTCATCTCTTCTGTTTTAATTTTCCTTCTTCTCTACTGTTTTAAATATTTTTTTAATAATCGAAAATCCCAACCTTAGCCAAGGTATTTCTCCTCTGAATATATTATTTTTAAAAGAGTGAATTGAAGGTTTTATTCAATTTACTATTTAAAAAAATGCTTAAAACAAACTTCACAAAATATAGGGAAACTGGTGCATTTGGGATGAACATTTTAATCAAGAAATCTTGGCAACACAGGCTCTATTTAACAAGTGTCAAGACACTGTAAATTCTTTCCATTACCACATGTTCTCTTTAAGTTTAAGGTTGCTTCGCAATACCCAGAGCAGTCAGCTTTTTATACATTTAACATAAAAAATATCTACAGTTACCTGAAATTGTGTATTTCAGGGTCTTTTTAGTTTTGACTTTTGCTTAAATGAAAGTTACGTTACACAATTTTGGAAGTGTCCGCTGGTCCCATGATATTCTTAAATAATCCTATCTTCTCAACATTCACATTTTTGAAAGTATGCATATATCAGAACTGGAGGGGGGAGGGTGGGGGTTAGAAATTACTAATGATCTTAATGCAAAACTAAGAAGATTTCTGATGTACTTCATTTCACAGTACTTCCAGTTGGCTAGCTTCATGGCACCTGAATGATAGACTTCAGACTGAAGCAGGGGCGGGCAGTTATTTCAGGTGGAGGGCCGCTTACTGAGTCTTGGCAAGCCATTGAGGGCCACATGACAGGCAGCCAGGGGCAGATAAATATTAATTTTCTAAATTTTTTAGGGGCTGCACATAGAATGGCCTGGCGGGCTGCATCTGGCCCACAGGCTGCATTTTGCCCACCCTTGGACTGAAGTATAGATGCAATGTTAGTAAGTACCTAACTGCAACAACTTCTAGGAAAGTAAATATTCCTTCAACAGTTACCTTCTATATTGCTACCCTGACAGTCTAGCAATTTAAATCTCTGAATTTCAAAATAGATTCCTACTCATGGAATCAGAGATTTAAATTGCTACTCATGAAATTCAGAGATTTAAGAGATTTAAATTCCTACTCATGAAATTCAGAGATTTAAGAGTATGTGTGTGTGTGTGTGTTTTTACACACACACACAGAAACACTTTTTTTTTTTTAAACTAAACTAAAAATGTAAATCAGTACACTGTCCTTAGAAAGCCATTTATTTTTAAACATGATTACTTGAATAATACAGAGAGGATAAGAACAGGAACTATTATAATTCCTGATTTCTAAGTTGGACTTTTTTAGTGCTGAACTCAGGTTTAAGGACACTGAAATTTCTTCTCACAAATAGCTTTATCCACCTCCTATTTAAATAATTAAAAGAGAATAATCAAGAGAATAAATCACACCTGAATCATCAACTAAGCAGGCTAAGTTCTCTCCAATTAGAAGGCAATATCATTTCACAATCAATGATATTCGCCAGGTTATACATTTATATTCATACAACGAATATCTTCAGTAATTCATAAAGCCTATAAAATATAACATCAAACAAAAGACTATCAAGCCAGATTCTAGAACTATACAATGATAGCAAAAATAAGTTACTTAGTATCATTTGCTTTCTTTGTTATATTTGATAACACACTTTATTTTTAGTTTGCTTTTTCCCGTGATCCCTAAGATTTTAAGACTGAAATATTAGAATCAAATGTCTTTAAGGTTGCTTCACAATACCCAGAACAGTCAGCTTTTTATATATTTAACATAAAATAATCTAGTTACCTGAAGTTGTGTATTTCACCATCTTTTATCTTTATTTCTTATCCTACCACAACCACTCACTGTTTATGTGAGTTGCAGCTTTTGCCTTATTCTTCTTGCCTTTACCAATTTAGTATCACAATCCAGAGCACACAACTGATAACTACCTCCACAGAGATAAACAGATGTCAAAGTGCTGTTTGTGAAAATTACTATGCAACTCAGATGAGGGCCAATTAAAAATAGAAACCTTCTCCTTTAAATAAATGGCTTGTTAATCACCAAATTAGAAAAACTAAATAGTATTTAGGGGAAACATCTCTGCCAAAGCTGAAACATATCTTTGTGCTACTAAGTTTAAATAGGAGGAAAACAAAACCTTATATAACAGTAATTCCTTTAAATTAAAGGCAAACAAACAATTTTCAGTAATATCAGACTAATGTTTAATTAAATGTTTTTCAATCCTCAAGAATTTACAGAGAATGCTAACTCTTAGACTGGCCACTTCCACTGGTCAGAAGGAGGTTCTTCAATTAAAGGCTCCCATGGTTTCCACTGTGCCATCTTTCTTGCTAGATTAAGTTCATTTTCAGCCTGTTAATAAAGATATACAAGAGGTCTTTTAAACTGTAAATATCATCTGAGCTATTAATGCAGGTATGTTTCACTTGTAACAGGAGAATATTGTATGAATTTACAGGCCACTTATTGCCAAGTTCTATCACTTATTCACAAGCAATTCAGTCGTTAACCAAAGAGCCACAAAGCAAAAGACAAATGGCTCTATTGTCACATCTGAACACTCCTTCATATGTTTCCAAAAGAGCTTACATTTAGAGAATTAGAGTTCTTGACTTAGCTATAGTTACAAAGCATTTTTAGAAAACTGCACTTCTACCAGCTCTAAATCATAGCTATTCTTTAAGCAGCCCATCTTTTTAAAAGAGTTCTCTGTTGGCAACACAACTGGGTACTATTAGTCCTCCGAAAGTAAAACTTAACAATTTGGTTAGCTGAGCATGAGTGAGAAAACACTTCTGTAAATAAGACATAGAATTGCCTCAATAGATAACCACAAGTACATTATTCCATTCTTTGAACTGAGGTAGTACTTGGGGATCTTGCTGTACAAGGGAGTACACATATAAAGACTATTTCTGTTCTACAGAAAGTCACCAAGAATTGAAGACAAATCTAAAAAGAAAATAAAAGATTTTCTTGCATTCTAGCCCCCCAAATAAGACATGCATCTTGTTTCGAGAAGGCAGAATGAAGAAAGTGTTCTAGTCATGGCTGAATTCTGGCCACACGGAGCAGGGGAGGAGCTACTCATCCCTGTCACTTACTTTCCCTTTCCTGCTCAGCCAAAAACTAGAGGTTTAACCTTGTCACTGCCACTGCCAAACTGGCAGCAGCTTTTTGCTAAGCAGGTAATTCAACAGCAGCTAGCGCAGGGGCAGGCAATTATTTCAGGTGGAGGGCCGCTTACTAAGTTTTGGCAAGCCGTTGAGGACCGCATGCATGACAGGCAGCTAGGGGCAGATAAATATTAATTTTCTAAATTTTTTACGGGCCCTGCGGGCTGCATAGAATGGACTGGTGGGCCGCATCTGGCCCACAGGCTGCATTTTGCCCACCCCAAGCTAGAGGGTTACACCTCCAGCTTTTGGTTGAGCAGTGAACTCTGCCTCTCCTGCATGCAGCTGGGAGAGCACCAGCTCTGACCAGCTATTCCAACATGGAAATCAGCTTTCTCATTTAAAACCTCAGTTCCAATTTTCAGGAAACAGTGTATGTGGTATAAGCAAGTAAATGTGGTACACTTCAGTTACACTATGCATGCCAAACAACATGAACCGGGTCTCCTATTGCCAACACACTTTACCCCAACAGCCAAGAAACAAATCAGTCAATGCTCACTCCAAATCAAAACCTAATTATAATTGTTTCTAAACTATGGATCAGGATTTCATTAAGGAGTTCATGATCACTCTAATAGCTGTGGGTCCAGCTGTGCAGACCCCTTAGTCTACATCTTTCTAACCTTAAATGGGATCCATGATGATTATATATGGGATAGAACACAAAAGGGAAAAACAAAAAAACCACAAGGGGAGAAGGTGGCAAGCCCTCTCATTAAGGGGAACAGAGATAAGAAAAGTAGGAATAAAAAGATGTAGAGAAACTGGCAAAGAGAGACAATATAGGTGGAAAGAAATCCTTACAAACAGGAAAGGATAACCTGACAAGAATGAACAAATAATACACAAAACAAACACAATACTGTGTGATAATACTGCCAGATGATTGGAAGGTAGCAAATGTGGTCCCCATC